GGAGGTAGAAATTGTCCGTTGTCTGTTGTCCTCCCTGCTTTCACTAAGAGTTGTTGTACAGTCTTATGGCCAGGGGGACGAAAGAGTTTTTCAGTCTGTTGGTGGAGCTGGATTGGGACAGCAGTCTGCCACTAAACACACACACAGCATAGGCTAGTTTACAGTATCAGCTCTGGATGATAAAAAAAAGTATCACAGATAAACAGCAATAACAACATACAGTAAAAAGTACACCACTGCTGCTCATCCTCCACACCACCAGGGCTCGCTGTCGGAAATCTCTCCCAAAAAACCCGCCTCACCCGGAAGAGAAGGCCCAAAGGAAACGACGGTAGAAAGAAATTGTTGTGGACTATCCACATAATTACTTTAGCTTTTTAGATAATCCAACTACCAGCTGAGGTAGTTTTTTTGCAGGAGGACTGCAGCCTCGTCGTGCTCCCGGTAGAGATGTCGGTGGTTCCTCCCAGTCGCTCGTCTGCCGGCTGGCCGCGCGGTGGTGCCGTTCAGTTTGGGAACAAATACATGAGCGGGCCCGCTAAACCGCTCACTCTGGAGAGGACCATCAACCTGTGAGTTCACACCACGCTGCTGGTATCTGTGTCAAAAATGTTCCGGTTAGTTAACGTACACCGACTGTCAAATTTCCAAAAAACTATGTGGCTAACGCTGAGATGAGTTGAGATGTTGTGTTTGCTTGCTGTTGGAGTGGATGGTGGTTTTATAATGTGTGTGTGACTGTGTTTGTCTCGATGCTGCAGTGTCTCTGCTGGGGCCATGTTCTGGGTTTCGGTGTGTTTGTGGGTTAGTTTGAAGTAGGAGAGGGGTTTGTGATAGAAATATCATGTTGGGGGTGTTTTTGTACAGCTTGTAGATAGTTAGACGCTTTTATTTTTTGATTAATACTCTTATTGTTTAGGAAAAATGTGTTTTTGATTTTAGTTCCGGCTGCAACTAACCATTGTTTTAACGATCGAGTATGGAGCTGAAACGGGTTGATCGACGGAAAACTGTCTACTGTTTTTATTGTTTATTAGTTTTTAAGCAGAAATTGCAACATTTTACTGGTTTTAGCGTCTCAAAGGAATATATCAGATTTCCTTTGTCCTCTGTAATGTTAAACTAATTATAGTTGAGGACGAGCAAGTTCAGCTCAGGAACTTATGCGTTTTTTTATTGTTTGCATTATATTACCCATCGAGTAAATAATTAACAGAGTTAAGGTAAATCATTTTTCTGTTGATTGATTTGAAACTTTGAAGCAGCATTTAGATGTGATCTAAAGTAATTTTGATAATCAATTATTATTAATTAATAAGTCATTAATTTTAGCAAAAAGGCCAAATATTTAATGTTTTTTCATTATCTCAAATGTGAGGATTTGCTTGTTTCTTTTGTTTTTTTCACTCTTAGAAAAAGAAGCATTTTGAAGATGTCACTTTGGGCTCTGGGAAATATTATAGGTTTTCTAAAGTCTTATAATTCTACTGATAATTACCACATCTTTAGTTTTTATAGCATGTAAGTATGGACCACGCAGTGACGATCTCTGATTATGTTTAACAGTGTTTCATGTGTGTATTTTTACTTCAGATATCCTCTTACAAACTATACATTTGGCACCAAGGAGCCTCTGTATGAGAAGGACAGCTCAGTGGCCGCCCGCTTTCAGCGGATGCGGGAAGAGTTTGATAAGATGGGAATGCGGAGGACCGTGGAGGGAGTCCTAATTGTCCATGAACACAGGCTACCTCATGTGTTACTTCTGCAGCTGGGCACCACTTTCTTCAAACTGTAAGTAGTTAAAGCTCAGATGGTATAAACCAGTCCAACCTGTATGGACCTCAGATTGTCCTGTATGAACAATTGTCTGAATCCTTGCGTCTCTCCTGCAGGCCTGGAGGGGAGTTGAGTCCTGGAGAAGATGAGGTGGAGGGCCTGAAACGCCTGATGACCGAGGTAGCTACGTCACAGCACAGTATAAGCTCCTTGTTGCTATGATGATTGTGGACTTTATACGTATGTTTACTTTTATTTGGACTTTAGATCCTCGGACGGCAGGACGGTGTGAAGCAGGACTGGGTGATTGACGACTGTATCGGCAACTGGTGGCGCCCCAACTTTGAGCCTCCACAGGTTAGTTCACACAGACCAGCGGACAATAAGAGGGTCTGAAGATTTAATGAACTAAAGGAACATTTTTAATGGATATTTTTGTTTAGATATCTTATTCGAGATCCATGTGGAAATGTTTTCAACAGTCTCTGGTTTGAAATATGTCCACAAACGCACAAATAGTCAGTTTCTTTCTTTTGGTTATAATTTCCAAAATACTTTCACTTTCACTTCGCTAACCTAACAATATTACTAATGCAGGGAAATTACTCACTGCTTGTCAATGGGAGGTTGTACTTGTAGAGTATACACCAGTTACTGGCTGCAACATATTGCGGATGTTTATCCAGATTGAAACATGCACTCTGGATCCAAGGATGAAGTCCCTGAAGTCAATTAGTCATAATGTCGTTTATATCTGTGCATACTAATGTGAACTGATTAAGTCATTTGTTTTGCAGTATCCATATATTCCAGCTCACATCACCAAACCTAAGGAGCATAAGAAGCTATTCCTGGTTCAGTTGCAGGAAAAAGGTCAGCATATTGCAACTTGTGACATTATTGTATTTTAGCATTGAAGTTTAATAGAGAACAAATGGTAGACGGAGATATAAATCCTGTTAAAGAAGGTGGAGGAGTAACATTGCTTCTGGTTTTGAAACCTGTGATTCCTGTTTCTACAGCGCTGTTTGCTGTCCCCAAAAACTATAAACTGGTGGCAGCACCGTTGTTTGAACTATACGACAACGCTCCTGGATATGGACCAATAATTTCCAGTCTACCACAACTATTGAGCAGGTATTGTCTTTCTCTATCTTTCATGTTTGTAATGTTACAAGCTGGTGATCAGCACCAGTTAACACAGTGAAAGCACTTAGTTGTTGGCATCTCTAAGCTTCAGCTGTGGGCTGCAGGGTCGCACAAAGAGTACAAAGACTACCGCTCGGGTTTGAAGAGCCGTTTTAGATATCCATCCTGTTGAAGTGTTTGACCAAAACACTGACGCTCCTCCAATTTCAGTACCTAAACCTGCACCACAGCCTGGTTATGCAAGCCAGGAACAAAAGGATGCATACGTATGAATACTACAGTAGTTTGCAGATATGTGTTCAAGAGTTTTATTCAAGTTACGTTGCACCAGACACGCATTCAGGTGTGCAGAGATTTTTTAAGTTAAGACTTTATTTATAGAAAAGAAATATATATATATATACAAACATTCCTTTCTCATAAAAGTCAGTCAATATTTGGAATAGTTTAAATCTGGTATTGTTTACTTGCTTGCAGTGTTTTTTTTGCCTACCTTTATTGGCACGTTACAGTGTTTCTTGGCACCAGCTGTAGATTAACTTGTCCAGTTTACCTTTTTACCATTTTACATTTTAAAATTAAATTGGAAAAGACAAAAATTGCAACTCCATTGCTGTGAAACTTGTAAACTGAATTTGTAATAATGACTGTTTCTCTTTATAGGTTCAACTTCATTTATAACTAACTTGAATGAACAGAAGTACATCTGGCTGTCTCTGTGAGTGCAGCCTCGTCTGAGTGAAGATGAGAGACAATGTGGGGGAAAAAATACGTCTCATCTTCAGATCAACTTTCACAAAACAAAAATCTTGTCATGTCGTGTATATTGACAGTTCCACAGGGGTGTTTATACTGTTAGAAGAAAATGAAAATGTCATGTGTCTTTTTTTTAATCTTGAGAAACTGCTAGTTTTTGTAGTATACAAGTCTGTATTCCAGCGTGATAAGAATCTGGTTTTATGTCCTCTCAAAGGAGGCCAATGTTTGATTAAACAAAATACATCATTGAGTTTCCTGTGTTTTAAACCTGTAACAATGCTGTGTGTTTTGTTTTTTTTCTTTTTAATAAAGCAGTCCTTTGAGTATGTTTTTATAAAATGCAAAGAGCAAGTGTGTGGCTGACTGATACTCTTTGGGAAGTGATTTTAAATGTTTCTTTTGCTTTTCTTCAGTTTACTGATGATTAATTCAACACTGAGATACACCAATGTTTGAAACAGAAAGTACCAATGTTAAATGCTTCACTGTTTTTATTTCTTGCTGTACATTTGGTAAAGAAATGTAGATAGTTGCAGGCTGACATGTTGCCATAATCCGATCCAAACAAGGTGATCAAATATCCATCAAGTGAATGTGAAAACCAGAATATTTCAGCATTCCAGTCTCTACACATAACCAGTCTCTTGGTTATGTGAAGATTAAAGTTCGACATGTGCTGTGTCGCAGTCACACACTAAGTACCTAATCAGAGACACTTTAATTGTTACATCTATCACAGTGACAGGACAGAAGATTTATGGTCTCTTGCTACAACCATGTTGCAACACGTTTTTCAGAAACATGCTATTATAGGTATTATCCATTCCCATTAAAGCTGCAGTAGGTAACTTTTATAAAAACAGTTTATTGTCGCTCTGATTGGTTATTGTTCTTTAAGTGCCATTAGGAGGCTAAAATGAGCCAGAGGAGCCTGATTTTTCACAGATTATCTGAGACTTTCACTATATACTGTCAGTTTATAGTGAAAGTCTCAGCAAATATGCCAAAAAGTTCATAAAAAACACCTACTGGAGGAATGATATCTTTGATAGTTTTTCTGACTTGGTTGCCTCAAAAACCAAGAAAATACATATGTAACGCCCCATTCCTCTTAAAGAGGGTTTTCTTCAAGATACTGAATTAAATGAACCCGTCCAATCCAACCCTAAACCTTTATTTTAACACAGGAAGGGAGTTTCCGATGCTGCCTGACAGTCTCAACTCAGGGCAAAGTTAGACCCTTTAGAGGACGTCATTTACCCGCGACGCACGGGCCATTTCACACAAACACACGTTACCAAAGTGAATAAAGCTCTTTATAAACTGCACCTTCATCCGGTTTCACAGCGGATCGTTTGTACAATGGCGTCAAAACGACGACCGGACGAGAGTAGAGACACAGAGAAGAAGAAGAAGAAGAAGAATTGTGTAGAAACAGCTGAACTTACTTCAGTTGTAGAAGACGAGCAGGTGAGGAGAGCTGTGAGGGAGGCATGGAGCCAGAGGACTCACTACAACCAGGGTTAGTGGACAGCACACACACACACACACACACACACACATATACACACACACAGACACAGACACACACACACAAACTTAATGATCTGTCAGAGAGCAGGTCTGTAGGAACCAGCTCCAGGGTTTGTCAAAGCTTGTTGCTCTATAATAAATAATACATATAATAGTAATAATAATAATAATAATAAAAGGAAATATGAGACACATCACAGATTACTTCTTGAAGAAGTAATGCACATAGAAAACCCGACTGATTAATCTGCTTAAACCATCATCAGATGGTCATTAGTTTAACAATTTCCTCCAGTTTAACCATCAACACTAATTTATTAACACATATTATTATCTTATATCTATTAGTTTATTGATTATTGATGGCTCGGTGAGAAGATGTGTAAGAATGAAGGTGTCTACACTATTAATCTGCCAATCTACAGTATAGATAGTTATTGAACAGTTAAATCTGATCAGACAGACATGGAGTGTATCATGTGGGTCTGTGGCCTTGGACCGCCACATATACGAGTATCATCTACTTTTACAATCATTTCCTTCTAAAAGGAAGGAGTAATATGGATAAAAACCTTTCTTACAATGTGTGTAATTTTATATCACAATATTTATATGATGATGTAGTGATTCTTCTGAAAAATCAATTATGAATCTGTTGATTGGACCATTATTGAAATAAAGTTGTTGATTTGCAGCATTATGTACAATATCTAACAGATTATCCTCTGATGGTTGACATTTTATATCCTCTCTCATATTGCCCAACCATAGCTGCTGATATGTTGAAAGATTGGATATGAGTCTGGGATATTATTATTATTATAATATTTGAACCAGCCACTCTTGTTTATCAGATCCAAATAACATTTCACGTTTGTCGTAAAGAGCTTGTTTCAGTTTTGAGGCTGTAGCAGCCCTGAAACTCTGGTGCTTGGTTTGTTCCGCAGAGCCTTTGCACGAGCTATTTGTCAATATCTCATGCAGACACACAATCTTTTGCTGTTCATGTGCAGGGGATCTGGAGCTGGACTGCCACCCTTTCCCTCACTGCATCATCAGGAACTTCCTCGGCAGCGAGACCTTCGTGGAGAACCTGCAGAGAGAGCTGCTGGGGCTCAACTTCCACGAGAAGTCCAACGATCTGTACAAATTTAAACAGGTTGTCTGATCAGACTGATCTTCTCGCAGATTTATTCCAGTGGGTTTGTGCTGTTGTCTTCTTATTATCTTACTTTGTTATTGTTCCTATACAGTCCGATGACCTGAAGAAGAGAACGGAGCCACATATTGCAGGACTCAGGTAAAAAGCTAGCTTGTGTTTATGTGCTGTGTATAACAGACCAAATGCATGTCGGTGTGAGTGTCTTTTGCAGCCGAGTTATTACGTAAAATAGGACAGATGTAGAGAGAGGTGAAGTGTGGATAATAGCCGGTGTTCTGACAATCTGAGCTACTCACCCAGCATGAGCTACAAGTGGAATTAAAGTACTGTGAAGTGAGTTAGCTCATTCTGTCTGGTGGGTAAAAAGTACAGATAAAAATCACATTACATTAATTTGTTAGATTCAATCCATCAATCTACACACACACAGTTTTACACACTCATCTGGAGCAAGTTGCTGACTGAGAGCCAGTACTGAACCTCCAAAAACATAAAAATAGAATATGTCATATGCCACTGCTATGGGGTCCCGCTCATCAAAACAATTTTAAAAGACATTTTGGAGTAGCGTGGGATCACAAGAGTGAGATTGTTTCTCTGATAACTTAAGAATATTGTTGAAAACATTTAGAATTTAGAAGAAGAAAGTACGCAATTAAACAAAATATATAACATAGGTGTAGTGTTTACACACAGTTTAATGCTGAAATGTTACATATTATTATATTATAGCTTTAAAGCACATTTTTATTTTTTTGGTAATCCTATGTGATCAATATTTTTTACCTGACAGAATGACCTTTCTTTCTCTAAAACCAGGTTATTCATTGTGATTTTGTTGCTCCTTTTTTCCACCTGACAAAATGAAATGCACAGATTTTAAGCACATTTGATGGTCCATTTTGAGATACCGTATTCTTACCTTTAAACCACTTTTACTTACTCTCATCCTGAGGGAACAACTCAAAGACAAGATAACTACTATTTTTTACTCACTGCTGATCTCAGCGCTGTAAATCCAGCGATGGCATTCTGTGCTACTCGTGACGTCTACTCTTCCCATCTAAAACCACACAGCATATTCTAAAAATATTCAACAAAGAGACACTTGACATAGATTAATCAGTATTTATCCTCAGTGTCTGCATTGTTAAGTTGGTTAAAATAAATTTTTTATGTCAGCAGCACAGAAATGGCAAGGCTTGAAATGCAGACGTGTCCCCAGTGGTAGAGAGACATTTTGGGGTTTAGTTATCAGCTCCACCAGGTGGAGCCAGAGATTATATCTGCCTCCTAATTAGCATTTTTCCTTCATTTAGTGCTGTTGACTCTGAAAGGTAGCCTTAACATTTGGCACAGTGGGACTGTACAGCACTGGCTGTACTGGAAAATGGATCCAGCTGCAGTTAATCACCTGTGAGCAGAAGGTGAAAGTGGAAACTGTTTCTTATTCAGTCTGGTACTCACTGGTACACTGTGAGTCATTACAGCAGTGTAAATGTTGGGGCTTTCAAACAGATGACCTGAAACAATACTGTTACTGTAGAATTATTGAGCAGGGAGAGCTGCCAGGCACTGCCAAGAGGTTCAGTGTTTGAACCAAGTCCAAGAAAAATTCTGATGTCAATGTATAAATCCAGACCAAAACGAGCTTGATGTCAAATCTGAATCCAAGACGACACCTTTGAGACTGGTACATTACCCAGATAGCGAAATAATGTACAAACCTCTGCTTTATTTAGGAATAATGGACATTTTTATTACAATTATGAAAAACTGTGTTTACAGTAGACAAACATATAATTTCTTCTAAATACGTTTGTGATTATGCTCTGCTACACCTACTGAAGAAATACAGCCCAGGAGAATAAATACCATAATTAGATGCACAATACCGGCCTCCTCTTGTGATCATCTATTATTTATGTTGCAACAAAATGTCATGGTAGGTTTGAGCAGTCGAAACAATCTGTCTGCATGGTGGGGCTTATACAAGGTTAAAGGTCCAGCATTATTGTCATTGTCAGTAACAATACAGTGAATGAAATGCATTTCACATTAATGTCGCTGTTTTCAGGGCAGCACTGTTTGGGCGTTTCCGTTCCTGGCTCGGGGGAGTGTTGGGAGTTGAACTGGAGCCCACAGTGGATATTTCTTGTGCCAGATATGAATACACAGGTAAGCTTTGTTTTACAGGAAGTACTGTTATATTTTTAGGCTCTTTTGATCAGACATGTGATGACTACTCTGCTGTACATTTTTCCTTTTTTTAAATATATGTACTGTTCTCTCCTTTGTCTAGATGTTCTCTTGTGTCATGATGATGAATTGGAGGGGAGGCGCGTTGCTTTCATCCTGTATCTCGTGCCTCCCTGGCAAAGCAGCGATGGAGGAACACTCGATCTTTACACAACCGACAGTGAGTATCCCACTTTGTGTGTGTGTGTGTGTGTGTGTACTTCTCTTCGTTTAAACAACAGAAGTCTTATATAATCTTTGTCATCAGGTAATTTCCAACCGCAGAGCATAGTGAAGTCACTCGTACCTTCTTTGAACACGCTTGTCCTCTTTGAAGTTTCTCCAGTCTCTTTTCACCAAGTAAGAATAACCGCTCCGGCCTTTTTATCAATGTTGTACCTGTGATTTCATATCGATAACATGTGTTATGTCCAGGTGTCCGAGGTTTTGACGGAGGACAAGTGTCGTCTGTCTCTGAGCGGCTGGTTTCACGGACCGTCTCTGGAGCGTCCTCCTCGCCACACAGAGGCCCCCGTCCAACGGAGCCCACACTTACCGAGAGACGTGAGTTTGTTCAAACATGTACAAAAGGTTTGTTTAATCTACAAAAACCAAAAGGAAAGATACAACATATTTCTGGTTCACGTGGTGGTATTGATCTTCTCATTAACTTTCAGCAAGTGCATTTCCAAAAATGTCAAACAATGGACAGCCTACGTTCCTGCTGACATCTGGTTGTTGTGTTTATCACAGGAAACGTTGCTGCTGGAGTGGGTCAATCCAGTCTACCTGGACATATCCTATCAAGAGCAGATCCAGGAGGAGTTTGAGGACAGCTCTGAAATTCAGCTCAAAGATTTTCTCAAGGTAACTTCTTTCCTCATTTTTTTCTTCCTGGCACGTTTCCACTGGTTCCTGTTGGCTGACTGTGTGTCTGTCCTCAGGAGGAGAAGTTCAGGGAGGTGAGTGAAGCCCTGCGACTCGCTCAGATTCAGTGGACAAAGAGGGGTCCACCCAATAAGAGGTAGGACAGGTTTCACAGATCATTTAACTTAAGAGTGATGTTATGTGTATTTGCTGGAGAGAATGTGATTACCTCCACTGTATTTTTGTGCACTCAGATGCTATGAAGTGGCTTCTCTAGACACTCTGCCTCAGTGTGTGAGTGCATGTTGGGAGCTGCTTCGTTCAGAGGCCTTCTTCCTGCTTCTCTCCAACTTCACCGGCCTTCGATTGCACTACCTGTGTCCTGCTGATGAGGATGATGAAGAGGACGATGAAGAGAAGGAGGAGAAAAAAGAGCAAGAGGACGTACGGGACGGAGAAGCCACGGGATCTTCCACCGAATCACAATCAGTGAATACAAGCAGCGAGAAAGGTGTGTGTCAGGTTCTTCAGTCTGTACAGCTACGTGTGTGTTCATGTGTGTGTGTATTGACCTTTGTTTGTTTGTTTGTTGTTTAGAGCTGAGCACACCTGTATGTTGTGGCGAACTGCGTCGATGGTCTCATGGCTGCTACACTCTGTTGCATGATGGAGAAGCAGCGCGGGCAGAATACGCTCTGGACCTTGTTTTGCCTTTTTGCATCCCGGGTGAGTACACACACACACACACAGTATGAACATTAATCAATATTGTGAATGTTTCAACACTTGAATTGTCTTTCATAGACTGGCAGTCAGATTTTGGAGGCTTCACATGTTATGTTGCTAATGAGGAGGACGAGGAGGTGAGACTTGATTACAGTATGAAGTGTAACTGTACATGTGTGAGCGATCAATCATTGATCATCATTACTGCTTTGGTTTCCTCCTCCTCACAGCTGCTGACGGTGTATCCAGAGGACAATTCCCTCGCCCTTGTGTACAGAGACAAAGAAACTCTCAAATTTGTCAAACATGTCAACCACAAAAGCTCTTCGGATTGTGCTAATAATTCCACCAGCAGAGCTTTGTATGACTTCTCTTTTGTGTACTATGAATAAATAAACAGTATCTATATGTATATATATCGGTTGTGTGGGTTTCTTGACATCTTTGGTTCATCTTCCAGTGTTGTGCATGGAGACACATAGATTTGTTGTGCATTCATAGATGCTGACCTAAACTAGTTGGCGTTCTGTTTTGCTAACAGACACTTTAAATATGAACAGAAGAACTAGGGATTGAACCACCAACTCTTTGACTGAACTGTTTCTGTTAGTTTTAATAGACATTGTTACATTAGAAAGCTCCCTTTTTGTGCATGTTCATTACATGAAAATTACAAATTGTACAACTGGCTGTGTGATTTTTATTGAAGCCCTAAGCTTGTGATAAGACAGGAGAGAAGACGGGATGAGAGTCCCAGAATCCATTTTATTGAAAAAAGATTCTTGTCTGAAATTTAATTATTAAGCAGCATTTTTTTGAAAATCTATTTATAATCAATTCTTCCAACAAATACAGGATTTTGGAAGAGAAACCCCTCCATTGCAGCCTAATTGTAATTCCCTAAAGTTTGAAGAATGCATGCAGAAATGTAGCTACTATAACTGATCATCATTTTCATTATTGATTAGTCTTTTACTCAGTTATATGTAGGGTAAGAAATGTTCATCACTTAAGGTAAATTGCTTGTTTTGTCTGTCCAACAGTGCAGAACTCAATGATAATTTACTTTATAACGATATAAAACAGAGGATAGATCAATGGTTTGTATCAATCGACTAATTGATCAATTGACTACTCATTTTTCAGTGTCACTTACACGGTCTGTCCATGCCTTATCTACCAGTACTTAATATATAATGTTAGTAGATATGATACTAACCTGCTTTGCCTTTTTGTGGGTTTTTGAGCAACTTTAACACGAACAGAAACCATTTATATAACCACAGAAACACTACAGAAACACGGGTAGGTAGGTGTCTCGCAGGAATGAGAAATAAACGATGCAGTCGTTGAAATTCACAGCTTAAAGTCGCCATTATAGTAAAACTGATTTGGTCCATTCCTGCTACACATTCATGATTTGGTCACTTGACACAGGCAGTTTCTCGCCAACAACCACATAGTCATAACAAGGAAATGTTGACTTTAAAAAGGTATGCAACTCATACGTCTGCCCTACATATGGATTCCTACGTTTAAAAAAAATAAAAAATAAAAACCCACTTCCTTCCTGTCATGATTTTTTCCCCCAGGCGGCATGTTGATTGACCAATCAGAGCGGTCTTCGAGTCCTGCTCAGCCAATGGGAGGCCAGGAACTTATTACCGCGTCAGTGGGTGTGATCCCGCAGGAGGAAGCGTCACCGAACAATATCACAAAGTTTCACGGTAAGTTTGAACCGACTTTAACCGAGCATTACTTTACAGGGATTAAAAACAGTGATGAGTTAGACACCGTGTCCTCCTGCTGCGGTGTTTCTTAGCTGTCCACTAAACACGTAAGCAGTCCGTTTTGTCGCACCGTGGCCAAAGTTTTACGGCAGTTGTGTCTACTGTACGTGAGGTTCACTGACACGGACTGTACTCCCACCGCAGCCCCTTTATGTCTTTATGTCTTTATGTCTCTTTGTCAGTCCTATAAAGCTGCTCTCTATACCACGGACGGTTCCTGTCGCCGGTTGGTCGACTCAAACTGTACAGCTGCAGTAAAACATCGGTTCACACCTGTGGCAGGTAACCAGCTAACTTCATGTGGTCTTACTGAAAATCCCCTGTACCTGTACGTCTGGGTCGCCTAGCCAACACTTCTTCTGCCAGGCCAGAGGTTTAAAGTCTAATAACATGTGTTGGTAATAAAACAAACATGTATCACAATTAAAATCAGAGGTAAATCTCCATATATCACCCTGGTTGTAGTATCTGAGATATCGCAATGTATTGATCGCAATGTATCGTGATACCGATATTGTATCACCAGATTCTTACACAGCAATACACAGCCCTAATTAAAATAATGTGCAGTTATAGTACTGTATTTTGTTCTCCGCTGTGATAGCATTAAAACTTCTTATCTCCAGAAATACTGCAAAATCTGTTTCAGTAGTAATTGTATTGGTTTTTGTAAAGGACACTAGACACAGTGTCCTAATGCCGAAGTATGAGTAGTTTTACAAAAGCTATTGTCCTTTTAAAGTATAAGTTCACATGTTTTTTTGTATGTATAAAATCATTAATAGGGACTGTAATTGTTCCTCTCGTTGTGGAGCTGATGGGTGCTCAGAATTAGGGCTGCACGATGTGGTAAAAACATTATATTGCGATTATTCTCACAGATATTGAAGTATGACTTATAGCTGGAAAGATCATTTTCAGTTTCACTTTAAAAAACTGATGAAATAATGATGATGTGACATGTTTTGGGTTGCTGTACCAAACAGTA